TCTATAATAGCTTTTAACTATTATTATTTACTTTTAAAATTATTTTAATATATTAATAATAACTTTTTTTTATTTATTTATAATAGTTTTTAAAAATATAAACTTTTTTCATTTTTTTTAATAGTTTATAAATAATAATATATATTAGTAAACTTAAATTTTTCTTTTAAAATTATAATTTATTATAATTTATATATTTTATATTTAGGCTTGATAGTTAATTTTTAATTATAATAAATAATTTATATAACTAAGAAGAAAATATCTTCTTTAAGTTTTTAAAGTTTCTATTCTAATCTAAATATCTTTTTCTATTTAAATCTTTTTCAGATATATCTAAGAGATATAAAGTAGATATTTTTACTTAAATTGAATGATATATATTTATTTTCATAATTCTTAGAGCATAATTTATATAGCTTTTATCAAATCATATAGTTGCTGATAGAATTGATACTTATATTTTCATAGCTCTAACTGAAGATGTTTTAAAAGCTTTTAGAATTCTTCTTAACACTTTAGTTTATAATAGTTGAAATTGATTTATAAAAGCTCTTTTCCTCTTTCCATCAAATCTCTATTATATAATTTGATATATAAGCTGTATAAGCTATATATAATTATCTCATAGCTTTAAAATATAAATATTTTTTCTATATTAAAAAGTCTAATAAAATTATTTAATATTTTTTTAATTTCAGTTATTTTTTTTTAATATAAGTTTTAATATTAAGTTTTAAATTTAATTAAACTTTTAGTTATTTCATTGAAGTTTTTAATTTTATAACTTTATATTAAAAAATAATAATTTACTCTTGTTTATTTTATATGAAATAAAAATAAATCAATTCTTTTATTTATATTAAATTGAATATAATTTTTTTTTTCAAATTTTTCTATACAACTCTTTGTATTTTATTATAATTTTCTTATATAGATTTAAAACTAGTAATAAAACTAATATTATTAACATAGCTAAAAGTTTTAAGAGATTCAACTAAAATAAAATATTTAGTAATATATTTAAATTTATTTAGAAATTCTTTCTTATTATAGTTATAAATATCTAAAAGTTAAATATTATATTTTATGATAAGTTAAATTATTTAGAAATAAAGTCATTTTATTAATATTATAACTCAAATTAAAGTTATAATAATATAAAGATAAAAGCTTTAAATTATCTATTTTATTAGATAGCTGCAATAAGAATACTAAACTGAGAATTAAAATATAAAATGATTAAGCAGATGCACTTAAATAGATAATTAAAAATAAAAGTGAATTCATTTTCAAAGTATTATAAATCAATACAATCAATTGAATATGATTGAAGTCAGAATGAATTAACCTTCAAAACATAGTAGAGTAAATTATTATTAATTTATATTATTATAATAATTAATAGTCTGTAAATCTGACAGAAAAAGATAGTAAATACTTGATCAACCTACTTAAAATAGTCTTTAAAATAGTTAAAATTGCTGTAATTTATTATTTAAAATTATTTATATATAAATAATGTTTTTTAGATTATTGTTATAATTTTAATAAATTAATTTATTTACTACTTCTTAATAGATATTTTAGTGAAATTTAGTTATTCAATTTTATACAATTTGAGATGTAGAAGCAAGACTATTATTCTAAAGAATTTATATACTGAATAAATATTTCTTCTTGCAAGTTGATTAATTTTTTATGATATTTTAATACTGCTTTAGATTTGCAGATTTACTCATCTTTATACTACTATGTTCAATATAGTTGAACTGATTTTATATTTCAAAGCAGTTTGCTTATAATTTGAAAATTCTTGCAATTTTAAATCTTCAATTGCAAGCTGAATTGCAGCTTCATTGATCTTAATGTTGAGTTTTAAAGTTGAAGAATTGAAGTGGAATTTATAAAATCATTGAATAATAGAAATCATTAGATAGTCATAATCACATTACACTAATCATGTGTCGTTGGGCCGGCTGTTCTGAGCAACGTGTGCCCAATAGAAGAATAATAAAGACATAAGAGTTATGAGGGACTATGTAAACATTGTAACCCAGTAAAAATAATAACTTCGGCAATTCCCACTCTTCCAGAATTCCCTTTAAGGAAATAGAAAATCGTAAGGCCTGCTATAACGCCGTTTGTATTTCGAGAAAGCTACGTACATCATAAAATTTGGCACACAAAAAAACAGGGTAAAATAGAAAATCCAAAATATATGTACAGTACATGGGAAATGCAAAACATGTTTAGAGGGATGTAGCATAGAACCATGCCACACGGTTATAACCACTCAACGCGGGAAAGCGCTTCCGGCATACTTGGTCGCCGTGCTGCATCCGGACGAGCAGTAAAACCATTGGTATGATTCCGGTCGCGAAAGCGAAATCGTGGACGGTTAAATCTCTCAGTAAACGAAAGATGTCTATTGGGACTCGGGGAGCGGATCCGTTGTGGAGGTGGCATAGGGCCTGTGCAGGCCCCGTCGGCTACGGCTGCTCGATAGTCCGGTAAATCGTAACTGCACTGCGTTACTGCATGTAAGCGAACAGCGGTGGCGTAACTAGGGACCCGGGAGAGATGTTCGACTTCACTGATCTGCGAGCTGGGTGTAGCCACTCCTGAAGGAATGTTCTCATCATCAGATAGCCATCGTGGCGATGTACCGGACGTACTGGCAGCGTAAGGGGGCCGTTGTGCATGTGCAACCACGAATGGGGTGGAGTCCCCGCGACTCAGTTGCTGGGGAGATTGGCTGGATGATTCAAGGGCAGTATCTGCCGATTCCGAAGTAGGTGTCACAGATGCGGAGTTGTTATGGTGCAGGTTGCTCAACTGGGTATGCAAGGCAGCGGGCGAGAGGTCCCGGTTTTCTGAAGTTGTCATTACGGCAAGACTATCAAGCGAAATATTCCGGCTAATTGATAAGAAAGGGGTCCCAGGATCACTTTCATTCCCTGGTGTTTGATAGCCGCTGGGATCAAGTGAACCATAGAGCTGATCAAATTGATGGTCCCCGTAAAGAGGTGGGGCCTGCAGTGCCATGGTATGAACAACTCGCTGGGCAGATTGCGAAGATTGATCAATAAGATTGTTATTGTCGTCGATTGGGAAATTAGGGGAAATAAAAATGGAAACAGGGAGGCCGGCACGGAGCTGAAATTGTTAGCGTCATGGCTGGTAAGCTCAAATACACATATATGGGAAATAAGCAATACCTCAGATGTGTGGCCATCCGGGTTCTGAAGCTGAACTCTGAACTTCAATTTGTGTCTGATTTTAATACCGTTCGTATCGGTGTCCTGCAAACATTTGCTGAGAGACTTCGGGAGATTGAATATTCTACAACACTCAAATCCTTCAATCGCACCATCCGGGTCTTGAGACTTATCCTGTTCGCCCAGTGTATAAGACTCATTAAAGATTACTTTGGTCGATTTGTGGGACACTTGCAGAGCTTCGGGATCGTCGGGGTTTAGGACAAAATCGTGAGTCTCAACGAGTTGTGTCGAAATGGTGCCAATGACAAGGCCTTTTAGCAAGGGAACAATGCGGAAATCCACCCGCACGGAGGTTCCAAATATTATTGCTTTACTTGGTGTTGATATTGAATACTCAATTTTATTGGGCCATACGTTTTCCACTGACTATCGCAACAGGTGTAAGCCTTGAACAAATCCCATAGAGAAGAAAATAAAAAGGAAAAAAAAAATAAAGAAAGAAAAAAGAAAGAAAAAAAGAAGAGAGAGAGAGAGGGAGAGAAAATTTAAAACAAGACATACCATTGCATGAGAGAGCTCCAAAGCACTTGGATCCAATGTTCGAATAATCCTCAATGGCTTCCGCACGACTATATCTTTGGCATATTTCCGACCAATCTCACCTTTGAATCGATATGTAATCCAAGTGTCACGCAGTCCCTCAATGCTTTCGGGGAGAGATCCCGGGAGGATTATGTCGAACGGGAACTCGTAGTTGCCTGCTGGCAAGGACTCCATCTTGCCCTTACCAGCATCTTTAAATGACCAAGTTTTCTCAAAAACATTGTGTTCCCGGACTGATCTTCGGCGGCCACCAGAAATTGGAACCTGCACGCTGTATATATTTCAGTCATTAGTCAGAATGGTGCACCAGCACTATCGCCTTTTTGGGCGCTTATGGAGAGTTTTACGTGTGCAACTCACAAAACTCTCGACTTCCCGGTGAGATTCAATCTCAAGAATTTGATGTGCAGGGGCTCTGAGAGACAGAGGATCACTTTCCCCTTGAGCAGAGTACTGGCTGCTTCGTGCTCGTTGCCACGAAACACAATATAATCATCCTCGAGTCTGTGTACCATTGGTTAAATTTCCTCCAGAAGTAGACTCTACACAGGCTGCGTGGCTAGATACAGACCTGATATCAAAATATTTTGCCTGGCTTGCAGTTCCGCTGCTAGAGAAAAGAGTAAGAGGCATGGCAGGTCAATGATAAAAGGGCCTGTAGAAGGACAGGATAAGGAAAACGAGAGAGAGAGACTCGCTTAGTCATTAGAGACAGACTACGGTTTGAAAGTTGAAGTTCGAGGACTGTGAGAGTGAGATTGAGAGTGAGATAAAGATTCAGAGTTAGATTGAGGGAGAGGATGGAGAGGAAGAAGGGCGCACGGTCAGTGCTGTCATCCAGCCCTGTGGCAAGGAGGCACACTTTATTATAGAGGAGAGATAATATTAATATGGAACCATGGATGGTTTATGTCACTACCTCCGTACCTAGCTAGTTGCGTTAACCTAGCGTTAGCTAGGTTCCCATGTAAAGAATAAATGTTATGGGAATGAAATGAGATGTGCCAGCCAATTTTGTTGTACGTTAATAACTAGAAGAGGAAAGGAACAATAATTTAGATAGGATTGGGTTGGGATTGGTTTGGTATGATAGTCCCGGTAAAAGAGTTGCTCTGTTGCTAACTTTAGTTAAAAGATCAGATTTACAGGCTGGTAGAGAAAAGCGAGCCCCTCAGAAGTTAGTTAGTTTTCAGACTCATTGATAAGTTATTGGTAAGTTGTTGGTTGTTCTAATTTGGTTAACTAACTTAAGTTAACTATTAGTTAACTCTATTTTTGTTAGCCAGCTATATGCTGAGGACCCTCGACTATAGGGCTGTCAACTAATTGCCTTCTCGGGAGATATAATAACGTATTTTTAGTTAAATACTACTTATTCCTCCCCATATCCATCTATAAATCCCCCGAATATATATATATATATATAGAGATTCGCGCCCCTCTGACCCAATGAAGCTATGCCCAGTTACAGGCAATTACGTATGTACGTACATGTGCAATAAGGTACCATGGACTCAAAAAGTTTGATATTATATACAACGCGGTTAAGATTCGGGAATGATCCACCGCTATTCTTAGTGAGAACACTACAAAAAGCCAGCTGCCTGGTCGTTAGACATTTATGTTTCCAGGTTGTCAGCGACTACGTGCGTAGCTGCTTATTATCAACTACTAAAGTGTTGACTGCTTGGCCGAATCCACCACTTTTGAGGTTATCAGATTCAGATCCATCAGTAGAGTGACGTGGGAAATTTCTTCTGTCTCGGTTGATCAGACAGTTTCGCAACTGTTAACTTTGCTGAAAGTCATCCTCAAACTCGACAGAAATTTAACTTCACTAACAAATAACTAGTTAACTGGTTAGTTGGTTTATCAGCATCTCTTTTGATCATAATCATATCCATCAGAAATTTACCTAGTTATATCCAGAAGGGGAATGACAATCCATAAAGTTAATAACACTAGGGAAAACATGAACACAATGCTGCTTAGCTATAAACTCACTAACTAATTAATAACTAAGTTAGTTAATAACTCATATCTGTTGTTGGACTCTATTCTGAAACTGCTCAGGTGGGGACATGATTACAAGTTAGATAGAGACCACTATATTAACTGACTGATAAACTATTTAATTAATGCAATCACTCTCTATTAAATCACATCTTCAACAGAAGTATTGAAATTTGAAGATTTAAATAAAATTTATTATATAATAATGATAAATAAAACATATTACACATAGTACAATTATGCTCTTCTCTCAATACTTATCTATCTTTATAAATTTTGTTTTTTGACTATAGTTGATTAAATTCAAAATTTTTTTATAACTATAAGTTTTAATAAATTATATTTATTGTCTAAGTATATATAATAATTTTATCATTTATTAATTTATTTATTAATAGTAAAAATATGTTATATACTTTCTTTTTACTATTTAACAATATTAATAATATATAAAAAAAATTTTATATTAAATTTACTATATTATTTATATTTAACTAGTTAATTAATAATTTTTTATTAATTAATTAACTAATTAGTTAATTATTTAATAAGTATTTAAGTAAAATTAAATTTTAATTAATATTAAAAATCTTTTAAACTTTAAAAGTTTATATTTTTATAAATTATTTTAAAAAGTAAATATGTAAAGTTAAATTTATAATTAAATAAACTTTTTTAAGTTAAATAATATTAAATTTATATTTATTTAATATATTAATATAATTATTATAACTAGTTAATTAATAAATATATTTAATATATATAATAAACTAATATCTAATTGATAAATTTTTATAATAAAAACTATTTATATTTAAATCAATTTCTATTTATTTTAATTTGTATAAAACTATTTATTTATTTATTTTTACTTTTTATTTTTTTATAAGAAAGTGTTAAAGTTATAATTAGTAACATATTTTTATATATTATTTTATAAAATAAAATAAACTATTTAATATATATAATAAATATTATAATTAAATATTATATAATATAATTGTATATTTATATAAAAATTTAATTTTTTATATTTATTTAATATTAAAAATCTATAAATTATTCTTATAAAAATTCATATATTTATTTATTAATCAATTATTCTTGATATTAATTATTTAATATAAAAGAAAAATTTTACATAAAGTTTAATAATTCTTTCTCTTTAATTATAATTATTATCAAAGAAAGAAATTAATTAATTACTATTAAAATAAAATTTATAAAACTTTAATTTATTAAAACTGTAAGTATTTTATTTAAATATTTTATATTTTACAATTATATTATTTACTAATTTAAAATAAATTTATAGAATTTTTGAATTTTAATTGAAAAGTAACTTACTACTAGTTGATTTAGCTCATGAGAATTGTGATCCGCACGGCTTCAATCCTGATTCGATCATCCCGCTCGGCTGCACCCACGTCGTATCTTGTGGGATGGTTGTTCTTCCATTGGTGAGGACTGGCCAGCTAACTAATATACATGTACATCACATGAGGTGGTGCAGCTACCGGGCGGTCAACATATCTCTCATCCCCGGACAACGATGTTTCCCCCACGGGGCCTCAGGCTTCTCGCTAGCATTAGGAAGTGGATGGGGGAACAGCACGAAGGAAAGGAAATAGGGAAAAGGTCTGGACTTGAGGTTATGAGTCTTCTAGGGTGTTTTTAATTAACATATTATTAGAAAATAAACTTATCACATGTTGCCTTAACGCCAGTCATCAGATAACTATCAGATAATGAATCACTTCTTTCTGTTTTCATGTGATGCTGCTGTTCTTAGCTAAGTAACTAACTAATTACATAAACAGAAGAATGTTTCATGGTATGAAACTAAACTACTAGAACCAGCTGCCATACTAAATACTGATAAAAAGTTAGTAGTTATTCATTGAACTGCCCATAAATGAGCTCTCTCAAAATAACACATGCTCTTCCTTCTTGCAAACACTCTTTGTTCTAGACTCGTATCAGAATCCCTTCATTTAAATGGAAGAACGTAGGTATTCAGATATTAAATACTCACTTCATCACTCTGACATCATCAACAACCCCAATGTCAGAGACAATCTCTCTTATCTTGTCATGAAGAATGGAAAAGACCATGTGTCCCATCATTCTGCTAGGTTATCGACTAAATAGAAAAGACTAACTGGGCCCTAGTGGTTGATTATGAAATCAACCACTGGTCAGATTCTTGCATATGAGGGTCTGCCACCTTAATATAAATCATCATTTCAATATGAATTATTTTTTTAGATATTCTATTCCATTCTCAAAATTCAATAACCAGTTAATACAATGACTTCTTTATATATTTTAATAGAGAATAAGATTACAAAAGCTTTAGAATTCATAATTGATATTAAAAATTCTAATATTAATACATTAATGAGAGAATTTAATGTTTTTTACTCACATTTGATTAATCAATTTTATAATCATCTTTCTCATATCAAAAAAATATTTGCTAATTAATTACTATTTTTTAATTAGAAAAAATCACTCTGTCAGTATATAGAAATATTAGATAAGATAAACTTATTTTTTTAATTGATTAATAATATTTGATGTTATTTAATTTATTCTTACAGAGAGTCATAAAACTCTCATTGATTTTTCATCTAAAATTGAAGAATATTAAGTTAAAAAATTCATCAAATATTATTCTGAATATAATACATGATGATAGAAGATTATCAACATGATAAGAAAGTAAATTCATAAGTTGTCATTCATACTTAATTGATTGAATCATTTTAAGAAAATAGTAAATAAGTTTGAGATTCAACTCAGCAATATCTACAACTATGATAAAACATATATAAATTTATAAATTATTGTAATAAAAATAATATTATTTTCTTCTATTTTATTTTATATATAAGTTATTTATTATAGTTTTTGAATATAAGAGATTTTTAAACTTTTAAATATTATTATTCATTAATAGTTAAAGAAGTAATAAGATATAATTATAAGAAATTTACAAAAGTTGAATTTCTTCATATCATAATCTCTATATAAAAGATAATATTCAAAGTTTATATGATCAAAAGAGAACAAAAAGTAACAAACTTAATTTCATCTAATTCATTCATTATTTTTAATAATTTATATAAGTTTAAAAAAACTTTTATAAGTTTATCTATATTTATTTTTATAAACTCTTTGACCTGATATACTTTTTCAATTATATATCAATTTAATCAATATAAGCACAAATTAGAGGTTATGAAAGATATTAAAAACTCTAAATATATTCAAACTGAGCTAGAGAAGCTCTATAAGAGTAATATTGCAACTAATACAATAACTCTTCTGCAGAATGAGCTTTCAAAAACTATTACAGTCACTACAGTTCATGAACATCACCAATAAACATTCTATAAAGTAATATATAAGAAAGGAGTCATATATGCATTTAATATATGCAAGATGATAGTTATTCATCAAAAGCTTGATAATCAGAAGACATTAGAAAAGTTGCATCTGAAGTAAAAAAAGTTATAATGAAACTTAAATAATATTGTAGAATTAAAAGTATTAATATTAAGATCATCAAATTTACTAGAAAGATTCATCAATAAATTGTCTACTGCATAATCAAGTTGTATTTAATGAATCTTGCTACATTCATTGAAATTAATTTAATATCCTGGATAAAAAATATTTCACATTGATATGACAGTTCATGTTGAGGTGGTGGACCCTTATATGCGAGGGTTTGACCAGTGGTTGATTTCATAATCAACCACTAGGTCCTGGTTAGAAGTTAAGAGAGTTAGTTGAACATAAAAAAAAATTCACATTCTTGATCAGGATTGTCTAAATCTTAAATTAGGTGTTCTCTGAACTGTGGAATTTCTGTAAATTCGATTTGCAGATAATTATCTAGGGATTTGATCACCCTAATGGTGATGTTGTAGGGCAGTTAAACTCCAATATTCTAGCTATATGGAACCAAAAGTTCATTCAACCTCCATAACTCGAATGGGTGCGACATTCCCATTGATCATCACAGTTGATCAGGGATTTCAATAAAAATATACTATAACGAAATTAATATCCGAGGGTAACGAAATGGAAAGCGTGTAGGGTACAGGTAATAAATAAAGGTCGATAGAACCCATCGTTGATGTTGAAACCAAGCCCATACGACCAAGACTTGCATTATTCATAAAGGAATGCATGCACACGTAGTTAATGAACCGACATTCAATTGTTTGTTACTGAGGTGGTGTAAAAGGGAATAGCAATAATAATAATAATAAAAGACAAAGACAAAGAAGAAGAAGACCCCGGTCGGTGTAAATATCAAACAAGGTAGCTTCAAATACCTACTTATGCGGAAGAAATACATGTACTGTAACTATACATACAGAAAAGATAGAGGACTACACGTCATACAGCAGGATTTATCTCTGGGAATCATACGATGTAGCACGGGCTGTGTCACCCGCGCCGGTCAGTGATCCAGAGCCAGAAAATACAGTTTGCGGAACGCCTTCATTCACACCTTCTCGCGGTCGATCCCACGTTCGAATGTTGCCTGAAGATTCTTAGTTCCAATTTTTGATTGATCTAAACAAATAATAAAAGAAAAGAAGAGAGAAAGAGAAAGAAAAGGGGGGAGTGAACATACCCTCGAGCGAAGAAGTGATGATACAATCCTCTAGAAACCCAAGCCAGCAGATGGGGTCTTCGCCAACTGCTTTTGACTGGACAGTATATATTGTCAGCGTTGTACTCTACAAAAGGGCTCTCTTGTCAACCTGAACAGTTCAATTACCATTATTGGCGGCAGCTGTGCCGTCCTTGCCCTGGGCTCAACAGGATGAAAGATGGCCACGTCGTCCGTCTCCTCCATGTTTTTGTTATCTGTGCGGTTCGAGTCAGAACGGACCCTGCTAGATGAAAAAGTTTCAGTCCGCTGTCGACCAGAAGGAGCTATGATGCTGGTCCGCTGTCGGGCTGTGGCTTGGAGCTGTTCAACGTTTGAGCGAATCAGTAACAGTAAATAGAGATCACAGAGATGACGATATAACATACCGCCTTCGGTCGATGGAGCATTGCAACACTGAAATCCCAGAGAAGCAGTCGACAGTCATCTCCGACGCTACCGAACCGATAATTCCGCTCATCACATCGCCAAGGATCGAATGCCACATGGGAAACCCACGAATGATGACCCTGGCAGCGCGCAACGATTTTCCGCTCGGAGAGTGACCAGATTGAGACAAGGTCATCCTGGCCACCAGTCACAATATACTTCCCATCCGGAGACCAGCAAACGCAAATCATTCCTCCATAGTAACTCATAAAAGTATCAATGACCCTGAAGTAAAGGATGCGATGGGTTAGCTTATTTATAGGTGTTAACAATCCCCAAAACCGTTTTGTAGAAGAACAAACGTACTGTTCCTTTAAATAATCCATGATACGAAGACTCCCATCCTCCAGAACAACAGCTAGATGTCGGCAGTCCGGGGAGAATGCAAAGCTATTTATCCACTGGTTCGAAAGTTTCCAGCAAGCGACTGGGTTACTCTTTTGATTTTTCGAATTGACGGATTTTAAAATTTTCAATGACGGACTTGGATTATGGTCCATTTTCTCGTTGTCAACTCGAGGAGTGTTTATCTCTACAGGCTCTGGAATGAACGGGGCATCCTCCTTATCTTTGTCGTAAACAACAAGGGTGCCATCCGCATGAGCGGCCAGGAATAGTTGCTCTGAGCCAGGAATCCACCGAATATGGCTTACTGGTGAACCATTGATGGCTCCATTTTTATTAATGCGAGCGTACTTTTGCTGCATTGGCTCATACCATAAAATATCCCCGGCCGACGAACCCATAATCACATCCAGATGAGCTGTGCTTTTGGTCAGCTCATTCACGTCATGGCAAAGCATATGTGCCTTTGTGAAAAGTATCTTTGCAAGAGGTTCTTGTTTAATTTTTGAGCTTAGATCCAACCACTGGAAGGCACGGCTTATATTGGCAAAGGCATATACCCCGTCTGGGCTTCTCTCTGCCAGCCGCTTCGCGTATGTATCGTGGGTAATGACCCGAGAAACAAAAGAGGAACTACTCTTGAGGATATTGTTTTTCGGTTTCCGACGTTTTAAACCAGACCCATCCTTACCGGGAAGCGGCGCAAGCGCTAGGTTGCCTTCTCCAAAAGCAGGAACTGATACACAGTCCTCGGAATCATCCGATGTCCGACGGCTCTCACGCTCATTTTCTCGGATACTCTGAAGATCCGGCCTCCCACTCAAAGATGATTTCAATTTGTAAAGTTGAGGGGGGGTTCTGCGTGGCTGGACGATCACCAGTGATAATTTAACGCCAGATGTCGGCGGATTGGGGGTGGTAGCTAGAGGGTTTGGGTTGACAATTGGAGCCTCGGAAGGGTGTGAAGGGGGGGTTGCAAGAAGTAGATTGTCTCTGAGAACGTATGTCCCTATCAAGTTCCAAGTTGTTGGTTTGTAAATTAAAATGCACCATGGGGGGCCCAGAATGGGAAAGCCAACCTTCACCGACCTGAAGGGAGCAGCCCCCTTCGGGATGTTTCAAGATGTTACTCGTTTCGACAATCGGTACAGGCATGCCGTTTGAGGTGCCGGTTGCGTATGCCATAGGCATCGCATAGCGGGGCGGAGGGGGTGGCAAAACGCTACATAACATATCCATGAGTGAGAGGGAACATTCACTAAAGAGCCAATATTATAATTGACTACAAGAGCAGAAAAGAGCAGCTGCCGAGCAGTGCGAAGATTGATATCATTCACATGGAGGTATATGAGCATTAAGGTCCTAGTACATAACACTTACAACATGGCGCTGGAACAAAGAAGCGTATATCCAAGATTCAAGTAAAGGTGTTGTAGTAGTAGTAGTAGTTGTTGTTGTTGTTGATGTTGATGATGATGATTATCTATGCGGTACCACGGATGATGCTTGTCGTGATTCTCGAATAATGCAGTGGGCCCAAGACTAAAAATAAGAAGCGGATGACTGCAGATACTGTAACAGACTAAGCAGCCAACTCAATGAGAAGAAGCTTGTTCGTGAATATCCCTAAGAAGCATTGGTAGGGAATAGAGGCCACGACTAGCTAACCAAAAACGCCAATCCAGATTGGTGCGAACAGGACGAATAAAGTAGTTGCTCAGCAATAAGTTGGAGGCCTGTTGTCCTGTGTTGGACGGAGGAAAACATATTACAATATAATTATATTATATCTCTCTCTAAATATGTAATGGATTGTACTAAATGGTGGTAGATGTTTGGCACCAGCCACGCAGTCTAGTATCACGTGTATATATCTCACAGGGCAACACGCTTCCCCCACAACTGTCGGTCCAACGGTTGACGGACTACCCGCTCCAGCGTTAGCCCGTGTGCAGCAGAAGCCCCAGAGGTTCCTGCCAAGCCGTAAATTCTCCTACTCACTAAGGAAGAGTAAGTACTGATATTATAATCAGAGTGTGCACAAAACCCAGGTTGAGATTGCTGCCAACTTCGTGAAGGGCAACAGTATGTAAAAAGGACTATAGGGGAGACAAATGAGGGTGTAAATATATATTTATTTCTGGGTATCGTTGCTCCGTAAACTTTCATATAATACACAACTTATGGAGAAACAGACAGGTTAGAGACAAATGTTCCTCGCATCCAAGCGTAGCCCCCATATTCACCGATAGATGACTGCTCACCCAAGGTCCTATCTACCATGATGGATGCACAAACGCGGGTCACTCATCAATTCACACCACCTGTTGCTCTGCGCCAGATAACAACCGCGGCTGCTCCAGCACACACCACCGCCCCAATTGCGATCCCCCAAGCCATCCATTTCCCCTCCATATCCTCTTCGGTCCGCGGGAATGCCGTGCTGGGCTCCATCGCCGCTTCGGCAATGTGCACAAACAGCTCTTGGATGGAATTCCATGTTACGCTGACATGCAGTGGTGGACCCGGCATATTTAACCGGTTGGTGTACTCGTCCGGCTGAAACTCTGCTCTCTGAGTTGTGCGATCCAAGTCCGCTTTAAGAGCAACGAACACGCTGGGTAACTCTTCCAAATGAGGATATTTCTCTCGTAGTGCGGGAATGTAGGCAAAGGAATCAGGATCGGAGGAGTCATACGTATAAGCAACCACGTCGCACTGATCTAGAAGCTTCGTCTTGTTCTCCAATAGTGCAGGTTCTAGCTCTCCCAGTTCATCGAGGATGAGATAACATTGTTTGCCACCGGGCAATTCGACGGTGTTGACTGCATTGCGTGGCTGGATGGTGGGGTGGTATGTGGAGCTGAAACTGCGCGAGAGAAAGGCATCAAGGAGTGAAGACTTGCCAGACCCAGGGGCACCGAGGACATGACACATGACAACATTGCGGCCAACACGGCCAGGGCGTCGTCGTTTTTTCCGCGGTCTGGTAACTTTTAGTGCTGCAGTAGTAGTGGGATTCCCCCGGTCCGACGACTCGAATCCGAGGTAGGCAAGATATTCTAGGGTGGTTTTCGGAGATGTAAACGTCGTCATACTCCACTGTGCCAGCCAGCCTTGTAAGGTGATATGACCTGCCTCATTGCGCACGGTGGAACATGGGAAAGAGCCCTCTACCCATGAGGTTGGTAGGCCCGGTGTGGGTGCAAATAGGGACGCCAATTCAGCGTCGTTTAGACCTCCATCACTATCCTTGTCGGAAAGAAGAAATAAATCGACAAGAAATCGGTATCCAGCGGGGGACAGCTCAGCAGATGCAAAGGGAGGAACATCAAATCGAGGATGCAAAATGTCTTCTTGAAGTGAGAGGTTGTCTGTGTATTTGAATGTCCGCAATATGATCCAAATTGTTTCATGGCGGCCTTTTTCAGCGTACAATTTATTAAGATACAAGAAACCCTGCACACTAATTCCGGAAGGCGTAACAGCGTCCGGATGGACCCTTCGGATCGTCACCTTGATATGGACAAGATCCTCATCTCTCAACGATTTACCAAAACATTTGGCCTGGAAATCTTCAATTTCCCTATCGCTCAAATAACCATCACGATCCTTGTCACACAAATAGAAGATCCGGTGAAGTGCGCTGACAGCGGCAGGCTTCAGGGTTGATTCTTTGGAGTCGAAAAGAGGGGCGATGGGGTGGGTAACAGCCTTCTGGCAGAGAAAGAATGCCTCATTGACATTGCGATTTTCTCTAGCACTTGTCCGAATACAAGAGTCGATTTCCTTGAATTCTGCCATCACGGGGAGCATTTCGTCCTCCGCGACTTGTGCCTCATTCCCTTCCGGGGCGAGATCAGCCTTGTTGGCGCATAGCACCACGGGGACATTGACACCCAGGGAGCGAAAGTATGGCAACCAAAAGAGGGCAACCCTCTCGTAGCTGTAGTGATCTGAATATACCAGCAATATGACATTAGACTTTCTAATTTCCTTGGCCAGGTTTGCTCGTTCCTGCGGGAGAGCGGATGTATCCACCACAGTGGTTGTTGTCACATTTTCAGGGGTGCCAATGGTTGGGGGGATGGTGATTTGAGGGAGGATAGGCTGGATTTTATTCGTGACAAAGACTCCCTTGACGAGAGACGTGATCAAACTCGACTTTCCCGTTCCTTCATCGCCGCAGACGCAAATCCGCACTAAAAGAGTGGCCTAGTGAGAACCATATAATATAATCGGAGGAATGACAGTGTGTATATATAGGTATACATATTTGGACCAATGCTGGGCAGGGAAGTTGGCGCAAGCAATACGTACCTGTTCCCATGTCCGCAGGCCAACTGCCTTCGGTTGTTTGTGTATTGCCTCAAACCCGGTGCCAATTCAAGCTTATATCCTATCCATTGACATTGCCCTCAAACGCAAATCTACTTTCTGTGAGAGTGTGGAGGATGGGTGGCTAGCTTTGGGTTCTGCCCATATTATACATTATGTATACAGAGCTAGAAGTTTGCAAATCGCTTTGACCTTTGAAGGATTGGTTTGAGTGCTCGGGACGCGCCAGCAATAAAACGGAACCGCAAGGAAACGGAAATACTTAGTTCCGGGATGCTATCCACACGTGACATTAGAGCTTAAGCTCCTTTGTCCAGCCAATGGATGAGAATTCCCAGGAAAGAAGATCTGCAAATTGAGTATAAGGCAGGCTGCACAAAGGAACAGGCAGCACAAGACTTTAAGAGCTGGCTGCAACAACACAATCCCCTGGATCTGATGGTCTTTACTGATGGTTCACAGATAGTATGTCTTCAGTATGTGACTGGTGCAGGATAGACTATATGCTGAAGTAGTGAACATTATCTAGTCTTCATAGAAAATTTGTCAATAAATGAAGCAGAGGTCTTTGATGTGAAGACAATGATAGCTCTGCAGAGTCTAAAGAAAGTCATCATCTCTTCTCAGATGAGATATGCCAGCAATATCTACATTTGTCTAGACAATTTAAAGATAATATGAGCTCTTAAATCTATGTCAAATATCTCTAGCTAGCTGGTTTTTGTGCAGTTTCTGAAAGTCATAAAGACTCAGCAAAGCAGAAATAGACTCTCATTGACCATTCAGAGCAGAGTGATCATTAGATGAGTTCCAGATCATATAAAGACTGGTAATGAAAAGGCAGATCTTGAAGTCAAAGTAGCTACAGCACAGACAGCAAGTATAAGAACAGTATTTTAACTCAATAGCATAGACATGCTAGTTTATATAAAGCAGCACATTATGAAACAAATCACATAGATTTTCAAAAACTTTTAAGTTAAAAATCTGCTCAAATACTATATGAAGCTGAAGATCTTACTGAAAAGAGTTTTAATGAAGATAAAACTTTCACACTTCATATTAAAAAAACTCTATACTATTTAATCAAATCATGAAGACTTTGCAGTTTATCATAGTCATCTTAAGCATGAAGATGCAGAGTACTACTGCTGATGTGAATATAGTAAAATCTAAGAACATTTCTACTATTGCACTCTTGCATAAAAAGTGACATCAGTCTATTTACAATCTCCATGAAATACTGACAATCTCATATAAGACTTTAAAATTTAATAGCTGACTAAGAGAAACAGTCTTCTAACGTAGTCCGACACCTAACCGATCACGACACCTAACCGATCAAATTTTCATCCTTATTTGACAATTTTTTAAATTGAGCAACAACCACGAGAGATTTTATATAGAAATTATATAGATTAGATCCTTAGGTCTGTTGGCACTGCCTAATAGTGTGTCCGGGTGTATTACACTTGCTGCAGGTGGGAGGTCTTCGCTTTCTACCTTCCGGATTTGGATCCTCCATCCAAACCTCCGTACGTTCAGGAGGCTCCAGAGGCTTAGCCATCCTAGCTAGAGCTTCTTGAGCCGTAAGGATTACTTCCTTAGCTATATAGAAACGTGATTTCTCTCTCTTACGCTTCTGCTTAGCATTGGCAGCTCTCAGCTCCATGACTTCCTTGGTCAGTAAAGCAACATTATGCATGGCCGTATGACATCCCTTCACTAGTTGATCAAGAGCCTGATTTGTAGGACTAGAGAGAATTTCCGTACAGCGTTTGATTCTGCTGCTCTGCCGCTCCAACTGAGTCACATTGCGAGGGGTCTTGGGGGTCCAGGAGGATTGAGATCCGTGAGATCCGTGAGCTGACCCCGGGGGGGGTAGGAGTATGAAATTGAGTATGTAGGCGAGTAAGAACCTCATCTGGATTGTATGGCACTAGGCCTGTGGCTTTGAATCCGTTCTTTATAGTTATATCCTTCATAGCCTCCTGTCTAGCTGTTGTATAGCTGGCTAGAAAGTCCTCCTTGTCAATATAACTGATTCCTAGTCTCACGCTTTGTTCCACCCTCTTGCCGTACGCTCTCTTTAATGGTGAAAAGCAGCTCACATCTAGTGGCTGTAATAAATGAGAGGAGTGTGGAGGCATATATAATGATATAATGCCGTGATCCAGACAGAATTTATCAAATCTGGCCGTGGCATGACTGCCATGCCCATCCAACACAAGCAGTCTATATCTGCCCTTCGTACAAGCTTTAGTAGCTCCGTTAAAGACCTTCCGCAGCCAATCAAGGCTAAGAGCGTCCGTGGTCCATCCCTTCTCACTAACGCCAATTGTCCAATCCTTTGGCAGCTGCTTGTACCAGGAGGCTTGATGAAGCTTGCCCTTAAAGATAATCATAGGAGGTAGAGCCCAGCCCGTAGCGTTAACTGCCTCGATCACAGTTGCCCATTCTCTATTCCCTGGCTGTAAAAGAGATGGCCTGCCAGCTCTCTCAGCTCTAGTAACCACCCAGGATGTTGAAATAACCCCCATTGTAAAGCCAATCTCATCAAAGTTATAGATATCCTCTGAAGTAATTCCATACTTCTTTATCGTACGATCCATCAGGGTAAACCATTCGTATATGATCTTTGAATCCTCGCATTGAGCTCGCTGATAGTCGTACTTGCGTGAGAACTTCGTCTTTAGTTCAGAATGCCGTTGTATAAATCTTTCTACCCATCTTCCTCCCACGGTAGTTGTAGTAGTGGATTCTCGCGCCTCAAGTAGTAGATTAGCCATTTCTCGTACGGTCGCGATCCGGGGAGGCTGTCCTCTCTCATCCATAGAGAGTATCCATTGAACTAGAGATTCCTCTTCAGTAGAGGTCAGCTTTCGATTTTTTAGTTGAGCATTCGTGTACGTGGTTCCACCGCGTAGTCTATCGTAAAGCGTAGTATAAGGAAGCTCGTACGTCTTAGCAGCAACGCGAATAGATGAAATTTGCTTAGTTTCATAATCTTTAATAGCTAATAAGAGCCTGGCTTCTTGATTAGAAGGTTCTTTGCTAGGTGTGGCTGTCATATTGAATGATTTAATAGAGTGGGTGATTGGGACGAAAATTTGATCGGTTAGGTGTCGTGATCGGTTAGGTGTCGGACTACGTTATCAGAATATCTGTTCAATGTGCTGATACACATCTTCAGATCAAATCTTACAAACTATCTTTTCTTCTGTCTTATTTTTATTTTCTTCATTATTTTTCTTTTCTTTCTCTTTTTTTTTTTTTTTTTTTTTTTTTTTTTTTTTTTTATCTTTCTTTCTATCTGTCTTCCCTACCTTCCTCTCATAAACTTAAAACCTCTCAAAACCTCTGTTCTATGACAACTGACTCACAGGCTCTGCTGGTGTAGCAATATGCAACCCATTTTGCCTCATTTGTAAGATAGCTATTAAATAGGTAGTTGCTTATGGGCGTAGCTCTACCCACCCTATAGTTTTGACACAGACTCTACTAGATCACGTGCCATTCAGGCACGCTGACTAACCAGGCATTAAATAAAAAAACACACACACAACACACACACACACACTAGAAAGTTAGTTAGTTAACTAGTTAGTTGTTAGTTCAGTTAGCTTGCTACGGGTAGACGTAATAGTCAGCCACTCAGCCACTCAGCCACTCCCGTGTCCCGGAAGCCGTGGAATTCCCTCGCCATCGCCCATCACAGGGTTTCTCTATGCACACTACCAATCATTACGCATTACTCATCACTCGCCTTCTGTCTCTCTCCACTTCGTCACTTGTCATATATGATGACATGCTATTATCTTTGTTCTTTATATTGCGCTGGATCGGTGATATTTACCTTAGGTGTCTAGGTAGTTATCCGTGCACAGTTTCTCCTCTCTGGTCGCCGCAGTCAAGTCAAGCCTCGATTTCAGCTCATCATCAGGCTCGAGAGTTGGAGCCTTGGCCACCTTCATCCGACCCTCTCGCTGGAACTGGAATTTTCCCAGTATTGTGCTGGTACGGCCTACTTTGGGGATCAACTGAGGGAGCTCCTATTTTCTCCGTTGTAAATATTTGGAATTTTAAAATTTCCTTTTCCCGGTGTAAAGCTGGTCTGATAATCCCCTCTGTTTGCCAGAAGCAAGCAAATATGCCTCTGGGAATGAACAACCCGCTACCCTCCTCGATGAGGAGTAAGTTTCCTCCCTTTTATCGCCTCACAAACTTCTTGAACACTTCTCACCATCGTGAACGGTAATAGGCGAATGCAGGAAGGCTGGAAAAATCCTCGCTTCGTTTGTTGATCCTAGACAATCTTTTGGTCCAGATAAAATCATCCCCCCTCAGATACTGGCAAATGCAAAGGTGTGATATATTCACCTTTCCCACGTGGGATCCGTGAGGCATTTTACTGATATCTTTCACTTATTGCGGGGCAGGGTCTTGCGGTTCTTACTGTATTGAAAGCTGGCTTTCTTGGCTCGGCGCGGTTTGGCTCAGGCATTGTGGTTGCTCGCTTAGCAGATAATTCGTGGTCAGCACCGTCAGCAATCGCGACGGCCGGAGCTGGTTTTGGTGGACAGATCGGGTTTGAATTGACGGATTTTGTTTTTATCTTAAACGACTACAATGCTGTGCGGACATTTTCACAAGCGGGCAGCATAACATTAGGAGGTAATGTCTCGATCGCAGCTGGACCCATCGGACGCAATGCGGAAGCTGCTGGAGCCGCCAGCATGAAGGGGGTCGCAGGTATTTTCTCGTATTCCAAAACGAAAGGTCTTTTTGCTGGTGTGAGTCTGGAGGGGAGTGTACTGGTAGAGCGAAAGGACGCGAATGAGCGGCTGTATAACGCCAAAGTCTCGGCCCGCCAGCTGCTTGAAGGGTTGATCCGCCCACCACCTGCTGCCGAACCTCTGATGTGCGTTCTCCAGTCACGGGCATTCACTGGTAAACCCACATCCGTCAATGATACAATGTATAATGATATCCCCATATACGATGATCAACACGACCAGGTGGTCTGGGAGGGGAGGGGAGGGGAGGTGCTGGGAGAAGGTGCGAGGCGGGACCGCATAGGATCCCTCAACTTCCGAGATGACTACCAATACCAGGACCGACCAAGACGTGCCAACAAATGGGCCGACAATGTTTATGACCGCCAGCCGTCCGGTGGCGGCATCAACCGGTCCTACACCACCAGAGCCAATCCAAACGAAACATTTGATCGTTATGATACCAAAGGCGATGACAAATATTCGTATAGTGATAGAAAACCGTCTCGTCCCACAGCGCCCAAGCCCGTTTTTGCGCCGAAACCTGATACGTCATCTCTTAGTAAAGACCAAGCCGTTGCGCTGTACACCTTTAACGCTGACCAGGAAGGCGATTTGGGATTTAAAAAGGGTGAAATCATCACGATATTGAAACGGACGGACAAAAAAGAGGACTGGTGGACTGGTCGGATAGGCCATAGAACGGGGATATTCCCTAGGTATGGAAAATATTATTGCTATACATATACATGGACAGTCAAACTAACCCGATGTCTTTTAGTAACTACGTTGATGCCGCATGATGTCATAGCCATCATAAAGATTTTCCCTCACGGGTTAACCGTAACGCCCTATGCTCTAACTCGCTCATAACTCGCTCACAACTCCTGCTCCCTTCCTGGGAAAGTTTGGGCAACCTCAAACAGGTAGAATTCTTAAATAATGTGATCCACAAAAATACCATCCAAGTGGCCCAACCCCAACCCCAACCCCCGCGTCCGCGCCCACTTCCTCAACGCCTATCGCCATCAGGAGTTCTTATATATACTAAAGCTTTTTAACAGATGGGGTTAAATGAATATGGCCTTGTTGCAAAACACTTTACGGCCTCTGGTTTTTGTTTTCTTAATAATTTTCTATCTGCACATTATATCTAGAAGTATATTTACATTACAGGCTGATCTTTTTAATTTGGATATCCTGATCTTAAATTTATATTCATATTTTCCTGCATGGTTGAACCCTGAGCGTTGTTTTTATTGCGTTCCCTTCTTTTTACTTCCCCTTTTTCTTAACTTCTCTTAAAATAGTCTAAAGTAGGAGTTCCGTTTCAAAAAGACCATTTTGATTAGCTGACATATAATTTAATGGATTTGTCAATTTGTTGTAAATCTGAGCAGTACTTTGTCCTTTACGCCAGTGAGAGTAAAAGTAATAACAATATATTATTAGCATTAGATATATTTCCTCAAATCAAATTTGAAGGTGGATTGTGAAGCTTCACCACCCACTACTGATTCCTCTTGAACAGCTCACTCTTTGAACTAATGTTCTCAGACAGAATGTTCTGATTGGGAGTAGCTAACCCACCCACATACCACTTCTCTATCTTTAAGGCTGTGAATATGGGCTGATTACCATGGTGGCGCATTACCAATATCTCAATCAAATACGCAACATGATTTCAGCATTGTGAAATGGTTGAAAGGGAAGAAACAGAAGCCAGGTCTGTCCCTTTGTAATTTCACCCATCACCCATATGTTTTCAGCTTAAGATACGAGATATATATCAAGTGATATCATTGGAGTTGTTTTCAAACATTGTTATTATAGATAAATATATAAGTGGTCAAGAAGACTAATGATTGGCAATAATAATAATAATAATAATAATAATAATAATAATAATAATAATAATAATAACAACATTAAATATATATATATATATATATATAAATAGAGTTTTTGTTGAATTTGTCTTCGAGAAATTATTAAATATTTTATTGAAGTAGCTTATTTAGTTGATAATTAAACATCTGTTTATTTATATTTAGATTGAAGTTGTAATATAATACTAAATTACTTACTTTTTTTTTTTATTTTTTTTAAAGTAGATTTTTAAGTAAAATGTTTCTAAGAGTTTTCATTTATTTTTATTTTAAATCTTTAAGAAAATTATTGAGATATCAAAAGTGATTAAAAAATCTGATAATTAATAAAATTTAAATTATGACATAATAACTCTGATTAAAAAAATTATGAGATTAAGAGAGCTCAGATCAAAGAAATAGTTCTTTGAGATATTTAAAAAAAAAATTATAGCAAATATGTCAAAAAATTATTGATTTTATGTTAGGCTCAGCGCCTGACTAAGCCCGACCGAGCCGGCGTCCGATTTGACTCGACTGACCTCCATGGGGCCACGTGACCATGCGGGTTGTTATAACCTAGGCAGGCTCTAGCAAACCCCTTTCATCCCATCAAGCTTAGTATTTCATTATATAGCAGTTAGCAACACAGAGACTTTCCTTCTTATGCAGCTTACATTCACACTCTAACATACTAAGCTTGATCCTACTCTTTCTACTCAGAATTGAGTAAAATCTGCTCAGCAAGAATCTGATGATATAATAGCATACTAAGTCTAAACACAGTTAGCTAAGAAGAGCAACTCATCTCTCTTAGTCATCAGAAAAACTCAGATCAAAATGATCATTTCAGACTTTCAATTCTCTGAAAAAATTCAGAAGAATTGATAATATATTCTAACAAAATCAACTAATCAATTATAGATCTTATTTAAAGAATTTAAACAGATAATTCATTTAAATAAAAATCATGTTTAAAATAAGTTAGCAGTAATTTTTGATAGTATTTTTGATAATGAAAAAGTACTAAGAAATACAATTACACATTTACAGATGAAACAGAATAATGCTACAGCTTAAACAGCTATCAAACAAAATCAAATTAATAAATTTATTGCAGAATGTGATAAGTTTAGTTATATTTTAATTTATATAACAGTTAGCAATCAAGCAATAATTTAAAATATTACTATAAAGGATTAAACTCTAAGTATTAAAGACTAGTCCTCCTATATAACAAGAACGAATTGCTTGAGAAAGAGAAGAAAAGAATGAGACAAGAACTTGAGCTTAAGCGAGCTCACATAGCATGATCACGTGCGCACATGCAAATGATGGCTAGGCTGAGTCAGCCAGCCAGAGCAAATCTAGAGGTTTAATCTCTTATAGTCTTAACTAAGTTAAATGAGATTTCATTGTCAATATCTCATTTTAGAGTATGATTGAGAGAATTCTGAAGCTGACTTTCTATCTGTCTAAAAGAGTTTTCAGTCCTCAGAATTGCAATGTTGTCTGTGTACTTAAATCAGTTTTTGATAAGCTGGAGAAGAGATTCTATATAAAGCAGAAAGAGAATTGATGAGATAGAAGATCTTTGTCAAAGATTGCAGAGAATCTGAAACATCTTTGATTGAACACTATCTAGTCAAATCAAAGCTAATCATTGATTGAGAAAAGATGCTACTTACTTTATCAGAACTGTCAGCTAGCTCTATTTTTGTAGATATTTTAGAAGTCAGTCTTGAAGAACTTTGTCAAAATTCTCTTTGATATCTAGAGTGATCATGCTGGCTAGAAGATATTTGTCTCATATCTTTTATATATCACAGACTAATGCAGTGATGAGATCTACTACAAATCTCTATCAAACAGCATTACACTGATCTTCTGTTAGAATGTGATGATGAATAGTGAGATGAGACATTTGTCTAGCTATCAGACACTTCAGCTCTTTGCTGAGGCAGAATAGCATTGTGATTGAGTAATAAGACTTTGATAGAGAATAATCTCTTTTCTTTGACTTTGAAATAATTATCATCTTAGTCTTTTTGAAGCTCTAAAGGTGAATTTCTTGATCTATACAGTGTTGAAAAAGTAGAACAATTCAATTGCTTATCACTGACTATATCTTTTGAAGAATTTTAACTATAATGCTGTTCAGATCAGAAGATGTGCTAAGTGTCTGACAAATAACTCTATAGACTTTCTGCTTTGTAAGAAGTATTTAGAATATCTCTCTGTATGAAATTATTAATATAAGCTTTAGATTTAATAGTACAAGATTATTCTAAATATTCATCAGAATGTTGTAAAGAAGAAATAAAATCTTGAGATTGATATTTATATCATTTGACAATCTTATAGACATCTGATAAAAAAAACTTTCTCAATTCACTGACAATTTTATACTTTCTTAGCTTTTTTAATTTTTGTCTGAAATATCACTTGTTCTGATTGACAAAGACTGTATCTATATGCTGCATGATATACTCTTCTAACTATTTTAACTGCTAGGGTTTATCATGAAATATGATGACTTTTGAGTTCTAAAATGAGAGAGCAGAAGTCTTGTAGAGTCAGTTGAAGAGATTTCACAATGTTCATCACTTTTTCATTCACATTCTCATAGACTGATGAGAAGAAGAGAGTGAGTAGTTGTAAAAAATGATTAGTATTGCAGATTGCAAGACTAAACTTCTTTTTTTTAATCAATTAAATCTGAGTCTGTGATAATTAAACTGTTGTGATAAAAGTTTTATAATCTAAAATGCAGTGCAATTCAGAAGCAATATGACAGATAGCTGAATTGACAGCATAGAAGATAAAATCAAATATGTCTTTTCATCTATATGTAGATAATTCAGCTGAGTTGAGAAGCTAAAGTTTAAAAAAAATAACTCAATTATATAGATTCTCTTCTGCTTGAGAATATCTATCAGTTATAGAGTTTCATGCTATGTGTTTAGTATTAAAGTCTTCTAATGTCATTCAGAGAATGGTTTCTGTGATATATGTAAGAGAGAGAAGATCTTACAAATCTTAATCTACATATATGATGTAAGATGAGGTATTGTATATATTGTAGATATTAGCTTTTTTGAAATTAAAGATATTAACTAAGACACAGACAATATTTCTTGAGATATCTGCTATAGATTGAGTTGATGCAAGAGCTCTTTCATTTTTGACATAGAGCAGTACTCTAAGTCTCTTGATTCAGTTGAAGAAGAGTAAGATAAAGTACTTATATAAGAGATGACTTTTGAAGAGATAGATAAAGAGATTTATAACTATTTAGAATTTCTGAATAATCATAATGTTACAGACTCTTTCATCTGCTAGTGAGAAAGTGATATTATGAAAGTTTGACTCTCTTTTTACATTGATTTAATATATAATGAGTGTAGATTCATGAGAAGAGTTGTGACTGCTCTTCATTAGTGAAGATTTAGACTTGATATGATTTTGATGTCTGTTTAAGAGCAGATTATTGAGTCTATCTGATTACTTTGAAAACTAGTGACTGATGTTAGCAGAGCTGAGAGAGGAAATGAGATGAAGTTTTTAGAGTTTAACTCTGAATTGCTCTTCTCTACTGAGATTTAATAAACTAAGATGAATGCTTCTCTGTCAGCTTTATATATTGAGTGAAGCTAACAGCAGAAGATGTATTTTATACATTTAAAGATTATTTTAAGTCTTACTGAACAGTCAGTGCTGAGAGTGAGATAAGAGTTAAAACAGTTGTAGCAGTGAACTGATGTTTGACATTCATCTGAATGTGTGAAACTGCTGCACTTCTCACAATGTAGAGATTGCACACAGTTTCTTTCTGTATGAAAGCTGTGATATTTTGTACAAATTGAGATCTTTGACAATTTCTTAATTTTATTAATCATCATCAGACAACTGAAAAGACAGAGTTTATTTGAAAAGAGATGTGCTTTAGAGATTTATACTTCAATTCAGATGTATTTTTCATGCAGATTGAGATCTGTAAACTTCTTTGCTCAATAACAATAAGTGATTAAAGTCTGATAAATGATGTCTTAAATCTCAGAAAGAAGCATCTTTTCTGACACTGAAATCTAAATGATATTCTGTCTGTCAAAGCTGTGTGTCAACTTTTTAATTGAATCAATTACAAAAATGATTCAGAATTTCTGTCACTTAATAAAATAGTCATTTACAGCAGCTTTTAACTTATCTGCATATTTAAAAATAAAAGCTGTCTTTGCTGAAGAGAGAGCAGTCATAGTGATTTTCAATGAACAGTGTCATACATCAGTAATTTAAATCAAATCAGAGATTATGACACATATTTATTTGTAAATAACTTAAAAGTCTAAATTATTAGTAGTGAATGCTATAGATAGTTTAATCATAACTCATTTATTTTTCTGTTCTTAATGCAGAGAGTGATTGATCTGCTATATTTTATTTTTTATGAGATTATCTCATTATTGAAACAGTCTGAGAGAAATTATTTAAAAAAATTATCTTAGTTATTATAGCAGTAGTATATATCAATGTAAACTTTAATTCAGTGATGAGATCTTTAATGATTTTGACTATGCTGTGTTCTATAACTTGTCTTAGTACAGCAGTCTGATGTGATAGAGAGTTCTTGTTAAGTGCAAAGTATTAAGTCCAGTATCATAAATAGCTCATTGCATAGCTCAAGCACTATAGCTAGCTCTATAGAGAAGAAGTTATTTGCATGACTCAACAGAGCATTGAGCTTATAATTCACTGTGGAAGAGAAGTTCTTCACAGTTAGCAGAACTGCTTGAGTGCAGTCAGTCACATTCTCAATGGATTCTCCTCCTGGTGAGAGGGCCAGGTGGGGATTGAAGTTGATATTGATTTAATGTAGTTGAGCTGTGATGACTGTTGTAGTGTCCAACACATTCTGGGACATGTTGTTTTGAGGCTGGAGGGGATCATCTGGGGGTTTTAGCAGAGCAGAGGAGATTGTGCAGGCTCTCTTCTTTTCAGAGTGAAGAGGAGCCTTGGTGATAGCAATGTTGCTGTTGTTTTGGCTCATCATAGTTTGTTACAACATGATTATCCATTTCAGCAGTCTTCAATTTGAATGTGTGGTCACGTGGGAAGATCGGCCAAGCCTTTTAGCGAGGTCGACCGAATCTGTATGCTCCTCATTATTGCTTCTCTCGCCTCGCTCGCTCCGCACACTTCGCAAATGAATATTCCCCCCTCTCTTGACCTATTGTTCTATATACTCGGCTTTACCGTAGCTGTAGTTAAAATCTATGGTATCCTTCTATCCTCCCCTATATTGCCGTATTGCTGTGGTGACTTCCCGTAATCTCCAAGCAAGAATAAGTAAGCCCATTTGGTTTCCATTGCTGAACGCATTCATCTGTTCTCTATACTATCATGCAACAACTACTGACACACTACATACTTCTGTAATAGCTTTTGTGTCTTGGTATAAGGATTGCCACCGCAATCATGGCCACAGATCCATCAAAATACAAGTTTAATCGTACGCTCGACCTCAATGCTGCTGCTGCTATTACTACTAAGTTACCTGTAACTATCAGTCGGGGCAACTGATTTGGAATCGCATCAGATACCATGATTCGCGTAAAGGATCCAAAAAGATCAGGTAGGTAGTTCAATCTCATTATGCCTGATACTGGTAGTTAAAACATTGCTAACAGAAGCTGGTGGGTTCAAATGTATATGTAACTAGTTGAATTTTACAATTTTCTGGGCCTTTCGCAAATCAACAGACTCGATTTCCCAGAGAACAAGTTCTCCCTTTACTTCCTTGCATATGACGGCCCACAGGCCCTATCTGGCTCCCGCCACTGGACGGATAGAAATGGCGTTATCGAACTTACTCACAATTATGGAACCGAAAATGACCCTTCGTATACTGTCTCGAACGGCAATGTCGAGCCTTATCGCGGATTTGGCCATCTCGCTATCTCAGTGGATAACATCGAACTCACCTGCAAGCGCCTGGAGGATGCCAACTTCAGCTTCCAGAAGAAGCTCGCCGAAGGGAGAATGCGAAATATTGCCTTCGTCAAAGACCCAGACGGATACTGGGTGGAAATTATCCGGAAACATCAAACAGATGCGGCCGTTGCACAGACAGATCCATCCACCTACCGGATGAACCACACCATGGTCAGGGTCAAGGACCCGGAAGCAAGTTTGAAATTCTACCAGGAGGTTTTTGGAATGACCCTTCTTCACACGCTCGAGCTTGCTGGTGCGGATTGCAATCTGTACTTCCTGGCGTATCCTTCATCCAATCCCTCGCTTCAAGAGGGTGATGCCAACCCAGTCGCAGATTGGGAAGGGTTGCTGGAATTGACCTGGAATCGCGGCACAGAGAAGCAAGAAGGGAGAGTGTATCATGATGGCAATTCGGAGCCTCAGGGATTTGGACATATCTGTATGTGATGATGTTCCTCTTCTCCTTTCACAAGGGATTGTAAATTCTATCTAGATAAATACTTAAGTTGGTTTTCCCAACTAACTGACCTTCCACACCACACAGGCGTATCAGTTGACGATCTCGATGCTGCCTGTGCTCGTTTCGAGGCACAAAACGTAACCTGGAAAAAACGTCTGACTGACGGGCGGATGAGGAATGTTGCCTTTATCCTAGACCCAGACGGTTACTGGATTGAGATCATCCAAAACGAGTCCCTTAAAAACAGAAGCCACTGGTAGACTACAGTTCACCAAGTTGTGCCCTGGCAGACAAATTGAACCCTGAGCCCCTCCCTTCGAATTCCGTGAGAGTCTGTAGCAGTCTGTGGGTGCCTGTGGGTGCCCCTGGCGAACAGAGCTGCTGCTTTGTCTGTACGGAGGTTGCTCTGAAAATTCTAAGCCCTCCAAGCCTGCGTCATCGAGGGCCGTTTCGGACGGCACGAGGATGACGTCCATGACAACTTGCTCGTCTTTATTTGGCGACTCGCGGTCCAGCGCTAAGGGGCATGATGGGGTGCCGGTATCATCGTCCTCGCACGTGATGACTTCGGCGAATGGTAGTAGTACGAAGCCGAATTCGAGTGATGGCAGTGGTGCTGCTGGGGTTCCCTGGTCTAGGAAGCCGCGGTCTGCTAATCTGCTTAGTGGTTGTCGGCATTTGGGTGGTTATATTCATCGGAGGCGAAGAGGGATGGGATTGGTGCTGAAGGAGAGACACAGGTGAGGCGAAGGTTATGATGCGATGTATTTAATTCTTACATGGTATGTTGATTGTGGGTTTGAATGGGTTAGATAGGGATGGGGTGAAATGGGGTGGGTGGTATGAGATGCGATGTGGTTTTGAGAGACGCTATACGTCTTCGGTCTACAGTAAAGTAGCATTAATGTTAATCTAAGAGTTAACCATCAAAAGAGAAGAAATGTTAAAAAGATAATAGATTGCGTCAAATTTGATTCATTGAAATTCAACTCAGACACAAGGCAAGTATTCCCAATGCACCTCTGCGTCCCGTAAAACGCTATTATTATTCCATCAAATAAGGCTTGAGAGCTTGGTAGATAGACCCTTCTCATCCCGCTGTCCATATCTCACCCCCTCCTCTCAAACCCCAGGATCCTCAATGCAACCTCCCCTTCCTGCACCCAGCCCTCCTTCACCTCCACCCCAACCCACCCGGAAACCTCATGGCAGCTCACCCTCCTCCACTCTCCATCTCCGCGCTCCAGTTCATCCTCATCAAGTGGGAAAAATGTATCACATTCAAAACCGTTCACAGAGTCCTCCACTCCTTTCACTGAGGTTGCTGTAGCTCCATCAGCAGTAGCATCATTCAATGCAGCAGGAAGTCGCCTTATATCTGTCATGACAATCCTGATACCTTGTCTTTGGCAATCAGGAACACCGGCATCCAGCTTGCAGTTAAGGTTAAGAGCAGAGGCGTATATCTCACTGCCGCCAATTATGAAGATATTTGCGAGGTAGCGGGTGGAGTTGTGGGAGAGGGGTCCGGGGGGTACAGCATGGCTGTCATCAGTGCTGATTTGAAATGCATCATAAAGTGCTGTCACAGCTGACTCAAGACTATTCGCAATAAGGACATCGGGGGTTTCTATTTCATTCTCAACTATTGTCGTAGATGTAGATGTATCACCACCACTAGCACTCAAACCATCTCCTCTCCTCTTCCTCTCCTTTTCCCTCTCCCTCACTGCCCTCCACTCCTCCTCAATCCTCTCCCTCTCTTTCCCTGACCCATCCCGCGTCACAACAACATTCACACGGCCCGGCAGCGGTCGAAAGCGCGTGGGAAGTGAGTCATATGTTCTTCGCCCCATAATTACTGCATTTACAGCAGTCACGGCCCTTCCTGTGCCTGTGCTGTCTAATGATGATGGCAATGAGTGAGGAGGCGCATGTGTTGTGACTCGTGAGAAGAATTTCAAGTCTGCTTTAATGCTGGGCCAAGGAAGGGTGCCGCCGTGCCCGATGCCTAGGCAGCGGCGTGTAAAGTTAGAAGGAGCATTAGCATTGAGAGTGGACATTGTTATAGGGGTTGTAGCAACGATAAGGGTTAGAGGGGAGGGGGTGTGTAGGAGAGGGCGGGCGGTGGTAGTAAGGATGGGAGTTGGTGGCATTGTGGTTGAGAAGGGGGTAATAGAGGATGAGATCATTTTATTTGCAGTATGAGGAAGAAACTTCTGTTTTATATTTGATATTGAGGTGTTTGATGTTTGGTGATTGGTGATTGGGAAAGTCAAAGGTTGTTATGTCACAGTTAATGTATGTGGTTTGAAACATGTTTTTGGCTGAGGGCCCCATTTCTGCATCAGAACAAGATAAAGTTGGAAAACAAGCACAACATACAATGGAATCAATATGATAAATATGGCAGGATTAGATGACAGCTATTTGTTTACAACATCAGAGAGAGAGAGAACATCACACTTGAGGGTCTCTTCAGCATAAAGTATTTAGTTTTAACTCAGATAAGTGCTAAAATATAAAACATGATTTAGAGAATTTCATATTATCAAATACTCAATAATTAACATGACTGATTATTTTACAATTTCTATCATTTAATGATTGTATTATTTACTATTCTACAGCTCTGCTGATATATAAATTTTAAAACAATTATAAATTAAATTACTATTAGCTTATAAATATTAAATAAATTATATATAAATTATATATAAATTACTATAATTAAAAAAATAAATAAATATTTAATTTAATAGTATAGTATTATAGCTTTAATCTAAATATAGATAAATAGATATTTAATTATTTACTAGATAAAATATTTCAATAAAATATTAAAATAATTTCTAAAAGATAGATTTAAGAAAAATTTTATTTATATATCTCTTTTCTTAGTATATTATCTTTAATATATTTTTTTTTAAAAAAAAATAATTATTAAATTATTATTATTATTATTCTTATTTAAAGTATATTTAGTCAGTAATTATAATACTTATTTAATTGAGTTAAAATTTAGCTATTTTATTAATATAATTAGTAAATAATATTTAAACTTTATAGTTATAGAGTTTTATTCTAAAATAATAGAGAATTTAATAATTTTTTTATAAAAAATATACTTAATAGTTTTAATTTTAATTTAGTTTTTTTATTAACTTAAAGAAAATAAATAACTTATTATATAATAAAATAAATAACTTAATATACTACAAAATAAAATAAATTAATATAATTTAAAATAAAATAATATTATATTATTACTAAATTTATGATATTCTGTCTTTATTATTATCTATGATGTTTCATCTCTATTCTTCTGCTTCTTTTTATATTAATATTTACTTTTTATTTATCTCTCTTTGATTCATTTAAAGATCTCAATTTTTTTTATATTTTCTATTCTATATGATCACTTCTATCATATAAAGTGATTATAATATATATATATAGCAGAGCATTCACTCATCTTATTAGAAGAGAATCAGATATGATTTATTCTATTTATTCAATTGCTTGTATACATCAAATTGATAGCATGTTCATGTCTCTCTAAAAGATTCAAGAACTGCTAAATCAATTAATATTCAAAATCTGCTGAATCAATTAAGATTTTAAATCTGCTAAATCAGTTACTTTAAATCATAATTACTACTCACTCTGATCTATAATTGCTAGTTCAATCACTTTAAAAGAGCATTAGTTATGATATCATCCTCTGAGTCAGATCTCAATTGCCTTTAAATAACTGTATTAATCATCTCATAAAATGTTATAGAGTAGCTCTAATGATAAACATTCTTATTATTTAAACACTTTTATCATTCTGATAACTTCTGAATTCTCAATAAGATCAGAGGGTGCTGAAGCAGCTGGCAAAAAGTGAGATATTGATAAAAACACTCATAACAGTGATTCTCATCAATACATACAAACATTCACAGAAAAGTATATGATAGCAATTATAGAAATATGAAGAAACAAAAGCAGTTGATATATAGAATTATAATTATTAATCATCTTCTACAACTGTCTCAAAGCAGAGAAGATGTTATTCACTATTTCTGTAAGATAATACAATGAAATGAGTGCAATAATATAGAAAACTTCAATAGCAAAATAAATGACTATCTTTCATTAGTGAATCTAGATGTTCAGAATAGAAGTTCTTAAACATATTAGAAATTAAAAGTCTATTGCTTTTATCTTTGCAGATTTCAGTCACTTAGTTGTGAAAGATAATTGCTGCAATAAGAAAGTAATACTGAACATTATAAAGAAGTTTGAAGAGTTTGATATACAGTTAAAAAAGTAAGAAAACAAACTGACAGATCTTGACATGCAGTTAAAGAAGTAAGAAAACTGAGTAATGAATCTGAAATCTCAGCTTTATATCTGCAAGTCTCTTCTCAATGAGCAGAAGAAGAAACTAATCACTTACAAGATTTATTCAGAGTGTGTCAGCATCATCCACTCATCTGTTGTAAAACTGAGTCTGAGAGAAGTTAGTTGAGAAGCATTGAGAGTAACAAGCTGTTTATAAAAGTCAATTTTGCACATTAGAGTCAATCTAGAGTATGATAGAATTATCAGCACAAAGCATTACATATACAATGTGAAAGACAATAGAATAAGACAGAATAACTGACTTATTATTGAGAAATATAATCAATCTGCACTCTCAATAACAAATATCTGAGATAGAATTGCTATCTCTTTATACAGTCAGAAGTAGCTGATGAGGCTCTAAGCAGTGAATCTCATGCTTTACAACTCAGATGAGATAGATATAATCATTTTTATATTGAAAATAGAGTTCATGATAACTTTGAAAAAGAAGACAGCAGTTCTCAGAGTGATTCTTCTATGTCTTAAGAGAAGAACTCTGAAGTGATACAATAAGCTATTGTTTGAATATCAGAATGAGATGATAGTGTTGCTTGCAGTAATGATTGATAAATTACAAAGTGAGTTCCAGCTTTCAGAAGAGAAGATCTGAAACTAAGTTTAAAAATTATGATTCTCATTTGACAACAGAAATAAGCTATTACTCATCATTTACATCATTTGCAAGATCACTTTTCTATGAGTAATAGTGATTTCTAACCAGATCATGATTAAATATCTTTTATGAGAGAGATTGAAAAGTGATTTAATAATGATTATCTCTCTCATCTCAACAGAATATCTAGATGATTTTCACAGATGTATATACAATAATGAATCAGCTGCTAGATATATCTGAGAAGATTGATAACAGTATCTTCTCAAGTATGAGAGAGTGAGATACTGAACTGAGAATAGATTTTTTATATTTTGTCAGTGTGGTCAGCAGACTGAGCTGACTATCTGACTATGACAGCAGTATTAATCAGAAGCAAAAGCTAGTATAACTGACTGATAAACTAATCAGCAAGCTAAGTCAATCATCTGACTATCACAGCTATGTTAGCTAAAAATAGAAGTTAGCAGAACTGATTTGATAACTTTGCTCAAACTCATATTCATCAAACTCACACTTATCTCAGCAGCAGAGTGCTTTACTTGCAGAGGCCTGTATTATACTAATAAATATCTTAAGAAGACTGATGATCATATCATAAATCAGATGAAATTTAATGATATGAATCTGTTATAAGATCTGAAGAATGACTTTCTAAAGTTTGATGATAAGATGAAAAACTAAATAAAAAGATGAGTATCAAAAGATTCATCTTGTCAGCAGAAGCTGCAGCAACTTCTCTTTTGAAACATCTTCTTTTTAATATAAAAATATACATATTAGTCAATAGTATTTCAGAAAATAATTAAAAGATTATTAATAATTTACATTATCTATCATATATATTTTTGTCTATTCAGATTATCATTTAGCAGAGAGAGTTATTCATATGCATGAACACTGATGCTGGAATCTTTCTCATCAGTGCAGAAATAATGAAGCTATTTTTCTCACAGCACTTATTTATCTCTATACTAAATAATCACAGTATTGAAATCAGAGATATTGATGCAGAATCAGATATCTTCAATATATATATTAATTTAAATATTGTTATAAAGAATTAAAAAAGTTTTCTCTTTTCTATAAGGAGTGAACTTTTCTTAGTAAAGCATTTAGATTGTAATATCATATTAGTCAATAATATTCTAGCATCTGCTAGTGTGAAAATCATCATGTGAGATTGAATAGTGATATTTTTCAATTAGTATTCTGTGTGAGCAAGAGTTATTCAGAGGGTTGTCTGAGTGAGAGAACATGAATGTTCATCAGAAAGAGTAGAGAAAATTAGTCAGATCAAATAATGATTTATAATTCACATCACTCAATCAGTCATAATTAATCTGAGTGAAGAAATTCTACTTTCTGTATCTTATGCCAGACAATCTGTGAATGTACTTTGAATGATAAAGTCAAGATTGAGAACTGACAAAAGATCAGTCACATTTACTGAGTTGCTGCAAGTCATAATCAACTCAGAAGTGATAGTACTCTCATTCATTAATTTAAAAATCACACTCATCACTATGTGAATCTGTCAAGTAGTGGAATATATCTTTCTAATAGAGAAAAAAAGTCTCACTCATTAATCTGAAATCATTTACCTAGCTGCAATACATGATAAAGATGAAAACTTACTAATAGTCTCTGAGACAGTGACAGAGAAGTCTATGAAGACAAATATATTCTCTTACTTAAAACTGATAAAATAATCTGCAGTTCAATCAACAATTGATCACCATTATCATCTGTTTTAATCTATATTAAAGCAGTTCACAGACAGTATAAAGATGTCATTATACTTCATGAATAAAGTCAACTTTTCAGAACTCAAGCAATGTATCTATTCATTATCAATATAAAATTGAGAGGTAATGTATCAGATTCTGAATTTACTTCTCAACAATGATAGAATTGAGTGAGTTTTTCTTGAGAACAAGAATTTTATCACATCACTGACATTTATTGTGTGAAACAAAAGCAAGTCAAAAGTGATCATTGATTTGAGAAAGATCAACATGAGATTGATTTTAAATGTATATTTACTATCAACTTAGAGAAACATTCTACAGTCATCGAGCAGTTCTACTCTCTTCTTCTCAGTGAATATATAACAAGATTTTTTCCAGCAACTGATTGAGAAAAGTG